AGAAGATGTTTTATTACTACTAGATACAGCTGAGGAAACAGAAGAAGCAGGTGAGGGTGATCTGGAAAAATTACCTCTCATTCTACAGTATTTTTGAATATGACCTGGACGGCCACATTTATAACATTTGAGCCCTTTAATCTGCTTAAATTTGGGTTCACAGTGAGTACTTTGTACTTCTATAGTCGTATTGGAATTTTCCCTATCTATCTCTCTTAAATTAAGACGCGTTTCCTCTGCTAGAATTTCAAGTTCAACATTTTTAAAAATGAACTTTTCATCTGACCACCTCAAAATATTCTGAACTACTTGATCAAATTTATCTGGAAGGAACCTAAGAAACTGGAAACGTTATATATAAGTCTCTTACAGCCTGATTAATATCAGCTAACTGTTCAGTTACGCATTTTAATCTAGAAGAAAAGAAACTAATACTTTCATTTGGCTTGATTTTGCAATTTAAGAACTCTGAAAACAGGGACATATGTCTTGACCGATAATCTGGCTGGAAATATTTGGCAAGCGTGTTCCATGCCACTACCGGGTCATCAATTTCACATATCAAATTTCTATATTCAGGGCTTTACATTCATATAAATTAACGATAATGCCAACGACTTCTATTTTGATAGTCGGCAATAAATTTCTTTTGCAATACCCTTAACATCATCTAAATCAGGACATTTCTCAATACCTTTGACCAAAAGCCATGCATTTTTTTCATTCAAGACAAACTTCATATCTTTGGACCATGTAAAATAATTACATGCATCAAGTTTAGCAATATTGTGCATGACACTAACAGTAGCCATATTTGAATTTTAACAAAAATCGCCCCCCAATCTCTTAAGTCCTAAATTAACTTTAAACTTCAAAAGTCTGCACTAAAAATAACTCAGGAGCTGGTGGCCCATAACCAAAATGATGCTAAACAAAGTTTAAAGTTTAAAGAAATTAAACATTTAGCAGTGGTAGCAATGAAAGCTCCCTGAGTTATGTTGTGCAGACATTGAAGACAATAAAAGATTTTAAACTTAACCAATTATTAACAATATAATAAAGAATAAAAACACAAAAATAAATGTCAACAATATTAGAGTATTAGGAAAAATATAATCTAATCATTATTCATCAAATATTTTTACCTGTACTCCAAAACACTGGCATTCTATACAAACAAAAAATGTCCTAAACAGTGACTATGCGGCCTAAAAATAAAGCTGGCTACCCATTAAATAAGTCCATAATCAATGGTCAAGAAAAACACCTGAAAATTTAAATGTGAAAACACTTATAACCGGCCTAACTCCGTTTACACAAGGAGTCGTCGCCGTTCACGTATTTTTAATTTTGCCTCGTTGAAGAAACATGGATGCCACCCACGGCAGTCACTCACAGGATAGCCTCTGGTACCGAAGAACTTTAATCTGGAACCATCATCTCGCAAACTGGAATCAAGGCATCCTTTCACCGGACTGCATACATCCTTTTGAAGGGGCTGGAAACCGCTCACACACCAGCCGGGAAACCAGGAACTAGAAGGGCTGAGCCAGAGCGACGCGAGATACTTATAGCAGAAGTAGGAATGACGTCATCTCATGGCAACCAATCAGCTATCGGCACGAATCGGCTTTTCAGATGACGTAAATCATGTTTCGTTTTTGCATCTCAATTAGGTTGAAACAGTCCGTTTTCAATGCAAACAGTGGCAGCAAGAAAAGAAGTAGAAGTAACTACTATATTATATTAAAATAAGGACTAAACTAAATAAACATTTCAAGGAGGAGAGATGATGCAGTAAAAGGTTTAAAAATAAGCTATATTTTCCAACATGGACACCCATAATCCGGAATGATCTATAATCTGGACCTCAAAGCTACAAACTTTCTGCGCATGCGTCGCGTTTACGCGTGCGCGTAAGACCTTTATGGCTGCGAATATGCGTGTGCGCAAGCGCAAAATACGTTTACGAATGCGTGTTTAATGTATAATGGACGGTATAAGCTAAGCTAAAATTATCTAATTCAGATAATGTTGCAGATTGCGTTGTTCCTTAATCTTCGAATTGGATCCGGCGTATTATTTTTTGCAGACTGATAGAGCAATTTTATAAAAGTAAGCTTGAACTTTCGATTATGTCAAATAGAATTTCTGATATATATTTACTAATATGTAAAGGATCTACAAAGCAAAAGTATGTTTCGAACTCCATTAAACAAAAAGTAGAATTGCTGCAAAAAATGGATAAAGGCATATCCTTTGTTTCTCTCACCATTCCGAAATCTGTTTATAAATTTCACGCTGCTCTGACGGGGGGGGGGACGCCTCGGTGCGCAATGAATTGGAAGTTGATCTGTCAGCACTATCCTTATCTTCAGGGCAGATGTTTTTATTTTATTTGGCTTATAATTCCTTACTAAATGTACTATTTCATCTCGATGTACTCCGTCTTTGATATGATTTAAATAAAATTCCTCATCATTATAATTCGCATCCGAGAGCGAAGAAAGTGACACAGATGTTATTGAAAGCGAAAGAATTTCGATTGACAAATTAGTCGGTATTCTCGACACAGCAATTATAGAACTTGAACAGCGGAACTTCGTAACTGAACAAGAAATTATGTCTGTTTATAGAATTAAAGAGAAAGTATTATCACATAAAAAACGAAGCAACTTAAACAACTTACATTGAAAGAAATGTTTAATAAAGTTAACAAATAAATATTAAGCTTTTTTTTTTTTTTTTTTTTTTTTTTTTGTAAATTTTGATACCCTTTAGATCATAATTGTTCTTTATTTCATAAATTACGGTTTCATATTTTTAATTTTATAATTTCTGCATGCCATCTTACCAGATTTAAACTGATGATCTATAATCCGGAAAAATCAATAATCTGGAATCGCCGAAGTCCCGACGAGTCCGGATTAATGACTTTTGACTGTATGAGGAATGAAAAGTGTCACTTGTTACATTATTCTCATCTAACCTGTCAGATTTGGTGAAAATATTTTCCTCTTGTCACATTCTGCTTGACAGGTAGAATTATATTAGTGAGAGATAGTGGTAAGAAAGTGTTGAACTCCTTTCTCTTTGTTTTCATACCAACATATCCTCCGTTAAAATTTCTTCTATACTCTCATATTGGTTCTGCATTCTTTTTATTCTTATTAGAGGTTTTCACTTTTTTCATTGATGTGCTGAAAAAAGAATGGTCTTTATTTCTGTTATCCCTTGAAAGTACATTATATTCAGGCTTAAATATATCCGGAGTCCGGTTCAGCTATTTCTTAGTTTTTGAGCAAGACTGTAATCCCATCTAGAGTTCTGAATAAGATAAGAATTTGTATTTCATTTAACTATCTATTATTCATTTTATAATTTATTTTTTTATCTCTTAACTTTTATTAATTTTTATTTTAATAGTTTTTAATTATTTTAATTGTTGATTATTTTGCCCGAAAGGGACATTAATCCTGAATGCAATTTTAGTCTTGAAAAAGCATTTTGCATCAAAATTATGTAAATGCATTGTATCACTTTTCAGATTGTTGTCACCAAATATCATCCCCCTGTATTATATTTAAAGAAATTTAATAATAAAGAATCTGCATGAGTGTATGTATGTTTTTTGCATTGTGAAAGAATAATGGTACCTAAAGCCATCTAATTTTGAATTACATAGTCTTCCACCTGGACATGGTTACCTGGAAGCCTGTATTTGGAATTTGTTTTATTATCTCTTTCATATTTTGTAAAACTTTAATGAATTTTTGATTAACAAACTCAAGGATTTCAAAGTGAATGATGGCAGCACTGTATGGAATAAAACATTTTTATCTCCAGCGCACAAATGTTTATCTGAAACTCTAAAGATGTGCCTTTTTTAAAAATATTTTGTGATTTTGCTGTTGGATTGAATTTTATGTGATATGATATTTAATAAATAAATTGAATGTAATATTCAATAAATAAAGTAATCACACAAAATGTTAATAATAAAAAGATAAAAGTTTTGTAAAGCCATCAGTAAAAAAACTGAACATTGATATGATGAACTGAGAAATGTTGTATACGTAATGTTGCATGGGGAATTCTAAACATGTATTGTTACTGCTTTTAAAATTTTCTTGATTTTGCTCTTTCATTGTATATGGTGTAAGTGCGAAGAAATTATACTCAATAACAAAGCTTAAAGACCAAAAAAGAAAAAATGAATTAGTAGAAGTGAGTGTAACAGCAGACTGGTAGACTGCAAGTTTAGGGAGAGCATAAAAAAACCTGAGCAAGCATTGTTGGGCGACTATTAAGAGTGAAACTTTTCAGATTTTTTTAATGAATTTTTTTTATTTTATTTATTTATTTTCATCTTCTATGACAGTCTTCCATAGGGCTACAGTATTTCTAATCTTATAAATTAAACATTGGTATAAGTGTATGATTTAGCATCATGATAAAATAATAAGTATTCAGACAATAGGATTTAAGGAAATACATGTTTGCAAGCCTCATGCATTAAATATCCAGGGAAATAAATACACAGCTGTGCTTTAAATAATTAAGCCTTTTCTTTATAGGATAATTATATACATTTACTTTTATTGTAACTCGTATTACAGTAATGTTAAAGGTAAACTCTTTTCTTACTTTTTGGTGCTACTGTTTTGAAAGTTAATTTTAAATATATGATTTTATGTTCTACATCTTGAACTCCTGGAGGATTAATTCTTAAACTAATGCACTGATTTCAGCAGTTTAGCTTAAAATTATTTAAAATGTTCAATTAATCAGCATATTATAATCAGATTGAAATTTATTTTTAATCTTATAAATTTCCATTTTTTAAATTGAAAACTTTTTTTTATTTTAATGGTGAATGTTTTGAGTTGTTCAATTGTAATCTGAAGTTTTTAAATTGCAGTTCATTTTAATTAATTAAATATTTTTAGGGGATTAGTTTGTATGCTTTATGAAATTACTATTAAAATATATTTTTTAAGCTTGGAACAAGGACTGGAAACCAGGGCCTTATCCTAGAACTAAAGAAGAGAGAATTGCAGCTGCAAAAAAGTATAACATGCTTCCTGAAGATTATGAACCATATCCAGAAGAGGAAGGCTTTGGTGATTATCCTAAATTTGAACCTGTGCATATGGAATTTCGTAATTCATTTGAAGTGTATGATTTTCATTCTTTGAAAAGAAATTATGGTGAACCTGTAAGCATTATTTTTGAACTTTAGATATTAAATTATTTTCCAATTAAATATAAAAATGTAATGTATTTTCAAATTATCAAGTTATATTCAAGGAGTTTAAACCATTTATTACCATGTTTTTCTGCGACACAGTTTTAAAATCAAGAGTTCAATATAGTTTATCTGTAACGTAGTTTTATAAGGATAAAAAATCTCTTAGGTTTCATAACTTGCAGTAATTATCCCAGTTAGTTGTCAGACTTGACGGGAACTGTACATGTTTCATTTAGTTGCTGCTTAGCTTTTCTAAAGTTATCTAAAGAAGCTTGCACAGTAGGTTCATGCTTTAGAATTCCCAATTTCATTTTTTTTTAAATTATCTTCAATAATAAAAATTAAAATATTAGTGCCTTTACTCCTAGAAAATTCAGGAGTATTTCTTTAATTTCATCTTGAATGTTTTTTATCCTAAATGCACATTTTAAGGAAGAGAAAAATAGCTTTGAAGATTCTGGTTTTGATATTTTTTATCAAAAATGTTTTATTTTCATATCCTACTGAAATATTCCAATTTATTTCAGTTCTGGTGCATTCTGATTCTAATTTGATTTGTTCTATATTAAGCCTTTCTAATTGTTCTTGGGCTTTCAATATTTCTAATTTAATTTTTTTCCATTTCTATCTATCTTTGTTCTTCATGTTTTAAACTTTCTTTTTTTTTCTTTTTTTTCTTCTTCTTCTTCTTCTAGCTTAGCCTTTCAATCATAATTTACTAACCCAATTAAATCTTTTGCAGATTCTCATTCTTCTTTAAACTTTTGATTATTCTCAAATAGAGCAATTAAATCTACAGTTTTTTAATCTTGAAATACAGTTTTAACTTCTCTGTAACCAGTCTAAGATCACTTTTCTTAGCTTTGTAGAACATTTTTAATACAAAAGTAATAAAAATTTCTTGCCTTGAAAATCCAATACATGAATAGTAATCCATATATGAATATAAAATATAATTCATAAAATTATTCACAAATATCCTACATATTATGTAATCCTTGTGGTTTGTGCCAATTTTTCATAAAGTTTATCTGGTTCTTTATTCACATTTCCCCCCCTCCAACAACTGAATAATAGGATGGAGAGAAAACACTTTAAAAAAAATTCATATTGCCTGAGTCATTGTATGGTTCCAAATTGGCTAGAACACATTGTGTTTACATGTCAGCCCAAAATATTGGCATCTTGAGATTCCACACCTCAAGTGAATATCTATACTGACTTTTTAAATACTTTTTTGCCTTTTTCATGAGTTGCTTTGTCAAAAACACCACTATTAGCACAAGGAATTGCTTCCCACACCAAAGTACCAGATTTAATGCCAAAATATGCCACTAGAACCAGAACAAGTTCTAATCTGACTACACTCAAACCTGTTTATGCGCTGTCTTTTTTTGTGTGGTATACTGATTGTGCTCTGAAATATGTATTGCACAAAAACAGGTTTGAATGTATTAGTTCTAGTTTGGGGTAAGCAGTCATGTGGCTTTCATGATCTTTCAACTTTTTATTGTTAATTAGTTGGTTGTTCGGTGTTTTGCCAATCCTGTTTTATCAGTCACTGTTTATGTTGGACTAAGATGGTGTCAACTAGAAGTGCATCTTTTTTAGATCTTTTGTTGGTCATAAACTGCACTAGTTTGTAGTATTGTTGTTTTTACCAATGAACTGCCTCTTCATCATCTTTTCCAGAAGATTGATGGAAATATATCTAGACCACAACAATTTTCTGGAACAGTAGGAAATTCTCTGAAAACATGTGAAACCCTTCCTATGACAGGTTATGTCCCTATTCCAATTGATCTATCCAAAATTGACAAAAAAGACCTCAGTACTGACCAAAAATACCTTGTTGATATTTCTAAGGCCTTTCAGACCTAACAGACAGGAGTCCTGGGAAGATGGCCTTCTTAAGATGGCTCACTACAATCAACAGAATGTTTTGCCTTAATGTATCAACTGCTGAACCAACAGAATGACTTGAAACTACTAGCCAAATATGTTATAAAAGTTTATATGCCATCCTGGTTTGAAATTTAAAAAAATCCCGAGAGCAACACACATGGAGCACGTCATGTGCACAGAATGATTAAGAAAAATTGATTCTTGCCAGAAAATTTTAAGGCAGTTGTTCATAAAGTTATTCAGAGGAACTGTTATTTTGCTTACCCTGAAAGCATCCTTTTGGCGATGCTGGAAGTTGAACGAGCACATATTCGTGAACTTGGCCTGAAAAGTGTACTGAAAACAAGAAAAATTAACTGGAAAGGGGAAATATGACAATTTGTGCTTCCCAGATTAAATTTCAAATCAGAGGAGAATTTTGTATTTGATTGGGACAATCCCTTGGAACCACCAGCTACCTTGAACTTCAGTTACAAAGATATAAGATTGATTAGAAGCGGTTCTTAGTTTGAAATAGGAAAGTTCTCTTGCCATTCTCAAATAGTAGAGAGGCATGTAAGACTGGTGACAGGAGCGTCATTTAGCAACATGGGGTGCAGAAGCCAGGGATGGATCCATACGCAATCAAATCAAGTATTGGAACGTATTTATGAAGTTTGACACCAAGATGAATTTCTCTCGTTCTCTTGTGGAACATAAAGATGACAAATGATTAAGCTGAAACTTTTTTACTGGAATTTTTTTTATCAGTTACAACCATAAGCTGAGTCAGGAAATAAAGATGTTGTAAAAAACATCATTAAAAATATTGTTAAAAATAGTTTGATGTTTTCATTAACATTGAGATTTTTTTTATTATTATTTATTTACCTCATGTGGAACCTGAAGATGATGAATAATTGAGCTGCAATTTTTTTACTGTGCATTTTTTTCATCGAACAGAACCATTTGTTCGGTCAGGAAGTAATAAAATTTGAAAAATTTTTTTTTTACCTTTTTCACACTACCCTGCTGAACAGTTAAAATTTATTTACAAGGCCATACATAGAAATGAATGTTTTTAAGACTATATATTTATTATTATTTTAAAAAAACAAACACTCAGTGGACTTCCCAATGAGTCCATAATCCAGAGTTTTTTTTTTTTCCTAAGAGCTTTCAAAATACTATGCTTACTCTCTCACAGTGAAATACCTACTTCTCTTTGTTACATCCCCTGTTGCTAAATTGCATATCTTGGCACATATGTAATAAATGTTTAGAAAAAACAGCACGTCATGGAATTATTGGTAGACAGACTAATGCTATTGATAGTGTTGATGCGTACTTAAAAGAATGCATTTTTCTCTAGTTTTAAAATTCATATAAAATAGAAGGCAATATAAATGTGAAGTACAAAATAGATGGTGTAAAGCTTTCTACCTTTAAATTATACAGTGGGTATTTAGACATTTTTAGAATGATTTCAATAAGGATTTTTTTTTTAAAGCAGTTTTGGAATAAAAATTTCTGGTAACAGCTTATTATTTGAAATTAGAAATATTATCTTTTAAATTTATTTGTCATTCAAAATGCTGCATGTAAACAAGCTGTGTTGAAGGATATGTTTTTATGTTTCTAAACATATAGAATATTCCAAATATTGAGAAATATTTCTATTCCATAATTTAAAAAACATTTGAAATGCATGGTATTAAAATTTCAAAATGTAAAATAACCAATATTATTAATCAGAAAGGGGAAAGACCATCAATTATTTCTTCAACACTGAAAGATGGCCCCAAATGAATATCCAAAAAAAAAAAAAAAAAAAAAAAAAAAGGATCTATGTTTCTAAAGTTAAATTGTTGCTAATAAAAGAAAATCTCCTGATGCGGAAATCAGTTGCTAAGTCTTTAAATACAAATAAGTAAAATAATAAACGATAACAATAAATAAAATAATAAACGATTTACAACTTAAAAAAGCTACAAAACAATAAAATTCACTAGCTTTTGTCAAGGCACATGGCTTAACACAAGATATTTTGTAGAACCCTACATGAAAACTATTTAGCAGGAGATAAATGGTTTAAAAATGCTGAGGTGATGGTTTTTTTTTTTACATTTTTTATTGAAGATATAGGGATTTTATTGGCTTTAAATTTCATTTCTTTCATGTCTTTATGGTTTTGGTTCTGAATTTCTCATTATTTTGTCTGTAACTGATTGATTTTTCAGCAGCATATTGTGCAGAAATAATATTGGGATATTTTTGTTTTAAAAAAAATTGTGATGCTGTATTTGCTTATGAACTTTGAATGTATAGAATAAGTATAGGAATTTTAAAATATTTTATAATAAGTTCAAAATACTTATAATCATATACATCTGCAGTTTTTAATATTTTATTAAAAATATTTTAAATAATTCCATGCATATATCTTTTTTACTTTCACTTTTTAATTTTTTAAATTAATTCTAGTAATAGTAATCTGTGATACATTGTATTATGAGAAAGTCCTTCCTTAATTACTCTTTATACATAGATTCATCCTGATTTTGATATGTATTTAGAAGATAAAATAAATTTCCAGCAAGAAATGAGGACACCTCTGTGAGTATTTTAAATATTAATTTTTGCATTTACTATGCACTTTTTCTACTATCAATAATTGCTTTTTGATATTTCTTTTTAGCTGGAAACAATTTTTATATCTGGGAAGTTTTGTTACAATAATTAGCTTCATTTGCATTTATGAATCATTGTATCCACCAGATATAGGCGTGGTAAGTTTTTTTTTTTTTTTTTTTTTTTTTTGGATAAATCTATATGGTACTTTCTTATTAAAGCAGCCATTGTAGTTAGTCATCAAATTTACCAGTATTTATTGCCAAATTTATAACATTCAAATATAACTAAAAATTTATGTTATGGCCACCTGAATGAAAGAAGTGTTGTTTATTATAATTTTAACCATATCCTATGGAAACTTTAACTTTTAACCATATCCTATCAAACTGAAATTACATACTGGAAAGTGGCTGATTGAGCTTTGTACCAAAATGAAAAGTGTTTTAGCAAAGCAGTTTTTTAACTAAATTTTAATTTTTTTTTACTAAGTGTTTATAATTAGTAATAATAATGTCACAAAGTAAGAAAAAATTCAATTTATATTTATTTTCTAACTGAAATCTTAAGGTTGGTAGATACCTACATATTATCATATTGACCATGAAACTGTTGCCAAGCAGCAAGATTAGAGCTAATTATGAATAAATGTGACATGACAACACACTCATAACATCTACACTTTTGTTTGATGTAACCCCGACTGATTCTCAACAAGCCACCTTTTGTTTTTATGAAAAGAACTTTATTTCTATATCTTGCTTTTTGCATTTTAAAAAAAAAAGTGATTAAAATGTGGAATTTTCCTTCCACAGAACAACAAGGAGTGAATTATTTTCAAAGTTATGGGATCCTACCAGCAAAAAAGTGTGTATTAATGTACATGATATAGTCGGTTGAATATAGCCAACAAAACAGTAATATTTCAATTACCTCTGTGAAGTTTGTGCTTGTAACATTCTAAACAAAGCTTCTAATAAAATCAGAGGGCCTAACAAAAATAACAGAAATCAACAAAAGCCATTTTTGCAAAGAGCTAAAATAAAGTAGATTGAATACTGATTACTTATAAAATAAAAAGGCATCGGTTCCTTCAAAATTTTGCTAAAATAAAGTAGATTGAATACTGATTACTTATAAAATAAAAAGGCATCGGTTCCTTCAAAATTTTGCAGGAACAATTAGGAACTTGGCAGGATCAAACCAACTTTCATAATTCAATGTTATTGTTATGTGCATATGAGTATGTAATGGATTAAATGCAGCAGAACCGATGAAAGCTTCATGAATTTATTTCTCCAAAAACACTTTACAGTGCTGGAACTTTTCATGCAAAATTATTCATACAGCTATTCTCAGTATGACACAGCACAAACAGGAGTTATTACTTCAGACTAGTAAGAATTTTGAATGCAGGCAATACAAAAAGTCTCAATTGTGTAAGCTCACACTGTAATATCTCAGTTCTCTAAACTAAAGTGAAAACTAATGCTGTCTCCTGTCTTGTACAGTTTGCCCCCATCCACTGAGAAATTTCCAGTAGTTTCAGTTTCTTGAAATTGCAGGAAGGAATATGCTGTTACAGATGCATAGGGCTGAATACAGTTACATAGGGATAAGTGCAGTTACAGTTATACAGGGATTGGACCCAAATGTTGCCAAATGGTCACCAAATTTGGCCAAAAAAATTAATCGCCAAAACCATTATTACCAAACCAAAATTTGCACTATTTCGTCAAACTGGCAAGATAGCCAATTACTTTAATGTTAAATTGACTTTCCCTGTAATCCTATTATTTTAGCAATGCTTCACATTTCTGAACTCTTCCATGTGACATTATAAAGGGAATACAGGTAGCCCTCCTACAACATGGCATCCTGTACCACGATTCATAAATTGCGAGAATCCTCCTCCAACACGGTTTTCCTATACAATATAAGAAAACTGCCCAAGTAATCCGAATAAATGTAATGATCAGTCACCAGGTAACAATGAAGAAAAAAGGCACTCGCGATTTGGATTGATGATAGCTGTCAAAAAAAATTCCGTTGGATGTTGATATCATTAAACAAAAAGCACTCAAAATTTTCAAGCACCTTAAAGAACCCTAATCCTTTGTCAACCCAGATTTTCTGGCAAGTAAAGATTGGTTCGAAAATTTTAAAAAAGCGTCTTGCAACTCATAGCATAAGAATTCAAGGAGAATCTGCATTGGCTTATTATGATGCTGCTAGGATGTTGATTATGAAGCTAAAGCTTGGCTTTTTAATTGTTTTGTTCCAGACGCTGAATGTTATTTAAAGCAGAAAAATTTGAGCTTCAAGGCTCTATTTCTATTAGATAATGCTCCACGTCACCCACAAGATTTGAATTATCTCAATGTCAAAATACTGTTCCTACCACCTAACACTACTTCGTTTCTCCAACAATTGGATCAAGATATTATTTATACCTTTAAAACATACTACATAAGAAGAGCATTACAGTGCATTTTAGACATAACCAATTCAAAATCAATTAAGGTACTGGAAGCTTGGAAGACATTTTCAATCAAGTACTGTATCGACAAAGTATCTTTGTCTCTGAAAGCATCAATGTTAAATGCATGTTAGAAGAAGATATATCTCTCTTCAGATGAAATAGAAAACGTGCATGAATCATCAGAAAATGAAATTGTTGGCTTATTAAAACTTGCTAAATCAATCGGAGGTGAAGGTTTTGTCGACATAGCTATTGAGGATGTTCAAGATTTATTATTGGAAGAAGAAATTAACGAAGCAGATTTGATGGAAATGGCATCTAAAGCCATAAATCAAATCGAGTCTGAGGACAGCACTGATGAAGATAGTGTAGTATATAATTTAACATTAAAAAAATTAAAAGAATGCCTAAGCTTACTGAAAATCTGGAATAATTTTTCTTGAGTACAGATCCTTGCGCTGAAATAAGCCAAAAATTCAAAAGGGAGCTGCAAAACTGTCTAGCTCCATATCGAGAAATTTACACTGACCCAGTGAGAGCTAGTAAGCAAATAAAATTACAGATTTTTTAAAGAGGGAAGAAAGATGCCAGAACTTTAAATGAAGAAAGAAATTCTGAAGTAATCTCATTCCACCGAAAAAACGTTCTTGGTTGATTATACTGAGCAGTGACAACAAAGAAATTTATTAAACTAAATGTGTTAAATTAAAATATGTTAATATTTTTGTTTTGTGTTGTACATACATATACAGTCAAAAGTCGTTAATTCGGACACCCATAATCCGGAATGATCTATAATCCGGACCTCAAAGCTAAAAACTTTCTGCGCATGCGCCGCGTTGGCACATGCGCAAAGGCGTTTTACGCGTGCGCGTAAGACCTTGACTACTACGCATATGCGTGTGCGCAAGTGCAGAATACGTTTTCGCCTGCGCGTTTAATGTATAATGGACGGTGTAAGCTAAAATTATCTAATTATCTATTTCACTTAATGTTAATGATTGCGTTGTTCCTTAATCTTCGAATCTTTGGATCCCGTTTATTATTTTTTGCAGACTGTAAGAGCAATTTTATAAAAGTTACTTGAACTTTCGATTATGTCAAATAAAATTTCGATGCTGGAACTTCCAAAGGATCTACAAAACGAAAGTATGTTTCGATGTCCAACAAACAAAAAGTGGAATTGCTGCAAAAAATGGATAAAGACATGAAGAATGTGACAGAGAGGTTAGTAAAAACGAAAAAATTTCGATTGACAAGTTAGTCAGTATTCTCGGCACAACAATTAACGGGACTTGAACAGCGGAACTTTGTAACTGAACAAGAAATTATGTCTGTTTATAGAATTAAAGAGAAAGTATTATCACATAAAATGAAGCAAATTAAACAACTTACATAGAAAGAAATGTTTAATAAAGTAAACAAATAAATATTAAGCTTTTTTTTTTTATGTAAATTTTGATACCCTTTAGATCATAATTGTTCTTTATTTCATAAATTACGGTTTCATATTTTTAACTTTAGAATTTCTGCATGCCATCTTACGAGATTTAAACTGATGATCTATAATCCGGAATCGCCGAAGTCCCGACGAGTCCGGATTAACGACTTTTGACTGTATATGATTAATAAAAATTAAGTTGTTTATGTAGAATTAAAAAAAGAAAAACATTTGTTTTTAATAAGTTTTCGGAACTTTGCATATTGTACAAAATTCATAACTGTAATGGTTGATGGGATATTATTTAAGTACCAGCTGGCATCTGCAAGAAATTTCTGTTGGTTACATTTTATAGTTCAAACATATTGATACCTAAATATTAAATTTTCAGACTGACATTTATTTCAAATAAGTCTGATGTATTGAATTTAACAACTAAATAAATTACTTTTAAATTAAAATAAACAACTTATGAAAGCTTTCCAAATAGTATAAAATTTGAAAATTAATGATGACAACCTATTATCTTTCTTTTATTTAATAAATTTTTCTTTGATGCATGCAAAAAAAAAAAAATGCATATGTTTATATGTAAATAATTATAAACTTCTGTATTTCTAAATGCAACTTCCAGCTACAACACCTCATGATGTTTTAGGTTTGATGAAGTTTGTAACCTATGGTTTCAAGCAAGTACAACACCTGAACGTGTTGCTGTTTTAGCAATGAAAACTGTTACATTTCTCTGGTATTTCAATGTATATTACACTTAATTTTTATGCAGAGATAGTTGTGCAATTGTTTACATTTCCTTTATTGCCAGTGGTATCATGGGCAGACAATATCTTAACTAATATGTGTTTTATGATAATAAATGATAAAATAAATTAGATCTGCTTGTATTTTATACATTCATAACATTCTTAACTTTTTATAGCTTTTTTCTTATTTATTGGCTGGAGGTTTATCTGCTAGTTTCTTTTTAAATTCCTGTAAATCTCCAAACATTTTCCAGGGCATTTGTTTAAAGAAGGGATTCTCAACCGGTGGTATGCAAGAGAAAAGTTTGCAAGAAAAGTTGCTTTTAAGTTTTATAAAAAGAAGTAAAGTATTTTTAACTTATTAAATTCAGAAATTAAAACCCCAACAGCCTGATTGAGTATTTTCTCTAACACTCATAAATTTATGCAATCTGAGCTTTATTCAAGGTCAATAGCCGCTTATAGACTTTAGCAAGAGGCAAACGATATGTCTGCATGGTAGTTTTCTGTTTCTTCCATGTTGTACCTTTCACAAATATTCTTTTAGCCGTAGACATAATAAAATTTGCCATAAATGATGTTTTTAAAAGGAGTGATAGAAATGGATGCTGTATTTAATAGGAAGTAAAAATAAACTTCTATAAAAAAGATAATAGTATCTCATTAATTCTCTTAGAGCTATGGATTTATTAGCATGTCAACACTTTATGTCCCCATTTCTGGGCTCATATTCTTCCATTTTCAATAAGAATCATTTTTTTATGTCTGTTTGCTGTCTCTAACAGCAGGTATTTTGTCTTCTTGTTGCTTTGTATTCCTTACTTTTCTATAGGATTTGAAAATATCATCGTGGTCTGTTTTTGAAGAACTGGTAATATATTGTGCATTTACATATTTGTGAAAAAATAACAAAACAAACCTAGATTTTCAAAATGAGAAAATTGCTACAATTGACTAAGCAAAGTGATGATTCACCAGGTGATGGATCCAGGACAATCTACTAGCACTAAGAATATTGAAAAGAAAAGAAAAATTGTTTCTAGAAAATACAATGAAAGTTATTTATCAAATTGGATTTACTTGGAATGGAGATGAAATGGACCCTCAACCTCAATATGTTATTTGTGGTGAACTGTTATCTAATCAAAATATGAAACCATCGTTTCTTAAAAGACATCTTGAATCTAAGCATGCCAATTTAAAGGATACATCTGAAGAATATTTTAAGAGGAAATTATTAGAGTTCCAAAATAGTAGACAAATAATGAAAGGTTTTGTTACTTCAAGCTTTGGAAGCTGGTTACCTGGTAAGCCTAAGAATTGCTGAAACTGGGCAGACTCAAACTATTGGAGAAAACCTTATATTACCAGCAGCTAAAGATATCATTTTAACATTATTCAATGAAAAAGTGGCTAATGAACTTAATAATATTCCGTTATCAAATGATACAGTGAGTCAGTGACTTCATGAAATAGCAAATTCCATAAAATTCCATAAAGAGCAATTGGATTAAAGTACTGATATAATAAACTTTGTTAAATTATTAGTTTAAAATTATTAGTTCAATTATTAGCTGGAGATAATGTGCATTTCACATCATTTGCATAACTCGGTGACATGTGAAATTGGCATAATTTTCAGGCCACTGTTTCTTGGAGTTGCATTTTCAAAGTCTTGTAGTTTATATAAATACACACATATATATCTGTTTGTGCAGTTGAAAATGATTTTAGGCAAAATTTTGACTAATGGTCATCAAGCAATCAGTTGATATGTGATAGAAGGATGAGAAAAATTGCTTCATTGATATATTAAAGTACAAATAGTATTTTGTTTCTGTTTGTTTAAGAACTTGGTCTTGTTGCTGAAGCGTCAAAGGTATGAATTCTTATTATGCAAAATAACTGTCCAAGACAATTCTAATTTTTAAACTGAAGTAACTAAATATAAAAATGATCTGTAATCATCCTGTTAAACTGTTCATATTAGCAAGAGAAGTATATCTATTTTTTGTTATTATCAGATACAATTTGTTGTGCAATTTGCATACAGATGACTTAATGGCAAAAAAACCAAAATGTTATCTATTTTCCCTCTGATAGCTTGTGACATACAGGGGGAAAAAAGAAACCTTTAAGTGAAGAAATTAAAAGGCATATTACCTGAAATATTAATTTTAATGCTTTCTGAATGATGATAATGTGCAAGATATTCGTAAAACAGAACATACCCCTCCCTCCTTTTTTAAGATCTCAATCTATAAGGAACTGTATTTCTGAGTAGTTATTAAACTTGGGCTGAAATATGAATCTTGGAATAAAAATTTTTTATTCTTAAATTAGAAATTTTGTTTCATCTACTAGAAGAATTTTAAAAATTATATTTATAATTTTGTTTCATACCTTTATGGTAATTCATATTTTATAATTTATGATAGAATTTCTAAATGAATTTTAATGCTTTTTATGACATTTCTAATGCATTCTGTTTATGAGCATGATTTATTAATTTTAGATTCCAAAGCAATATCCTAATTCTGGAGTAAAGCATTACACTTTTGAACCAGCTGTTTGAGGCAAATTAGACAAGGATACATCAAAAGAAGATTTCCTGATAATATTTTGTAGATAGAAAATAAATTGAATGTTATTTTTTCTCAAAATTATCTTTGTTTTCTGGTAGTCTGTATAAATCATAATTTTTCATTGAAGTTGTAAAAAACTCAAGTTTTATTAATATGCAAAATAAAAAGTACAAAAAACTAATTAAATTCTTATTTAAGACTGTGTTCAAGCTAATAAAAATAAAAAACTACTTATTACTACCTTAATACACATTTTATATTGCGGTATTTCATTCATATAATTATGCACTTAGTACTGTATCATAATCATTATATTTAACAATTACTATGATTAGTAATGATTGTAATTGTTATTCTAAAATACAGAAAAAAGTAATTAAATCCACAATGTCTCTAAGTGTACACTTATACTTTTAAAAACTGGATATCTGTGTGAAGTAATTAAAAGGTATATATTATTGGTACTCAAAATGGTTTCTTTATAGATAAAAAGAATGACATGGAGTAATCAATCAGTTTAACTCTTTTCTTCAAAGAAATAACCAAAGGGCAAACTTATTTATCATTATCTGATCTGTTTTGATCAAATTTGTTTCTTAAGTGCAAATATAATGGTATAATAGAATTTAAAGGCATGGATAATGCTTTTACATAAAATACATTTTCTCATAACTTTCTGCAATTCATTGTATGATTTCAGATCAAAAGCTTTTTTTTTTTTTTTTCCCCTACTCCATTGTACAAAGTAAAAGAAGTATTCTAATCATGAAAAATTTCGGTTATCATATTTCAACAAAAGTATCCATTTTGACCGCTCGCAAATCCATACAAACAGTATTTTTTTGTGACATCTGTATATGTGGACAGAATAAAAGTCTCTTTTTCCCAAAACAGATAAAAAATGGATTCAGAAGAGATTTTTTTTACAACATCTGTATGCGAATGTACGTGTGTACAACCATATGTATTGCAGTCAAAAGTCGTTAATTCGGACACCCATAATCCGGACCTCAAAGCTACAAACTTTCTGCGCATTCGCGTAAGACCTTGTGCGGCATACGCGTTTATGGCATGTGCATAACACGTTTACGCATGCACGTTTAATGTATAACAGACGGTCTAAGGCTAAGCTAAAATTATCTAATTCAGTTTAATGTTGTAGATTGCGTTGTTCCTTTATCTTTGAAATTGGATCCAGCTTATTATTTTTTGCAGTCTGTTAGAGCAATTTTATTAAAGTAAGCTTGAACTTTTGATTATGTCAAATAGAATTTCCGATATATATTTACTAATATGTAAAGGACCTACAAAGCGAAAGCTTCGTTTCTATAACCATTCCAAAATCTGTTTATCAATTTCATGCTGCTCGGCGGGGGGGGGGGGGGCGCTGCGGCACGCAATGAATTGGAAGTTGATCTGTCAGCACTATCCTTATCTTCAGGACAGATGTTTTTATTTTATTTGGCTTATAATTCCTTACTAAATGTAGTTTTCATCTCAATGTACTCCATCTTTGATATAATTTAAATCAAATTCCTTGTTATTATAATTCGCTTCCGACAGTGAATAAAGTGACACAGAGGTTATTGAAAACAAAAAAATTTCGATTGACAAATTAGTTGGTACTCTCGGCACAGCAATTATAGGATTTGAACAGTGGAACTTTGTAACTGAAGAAGAAATTATGTCTGTTTATAGAATTAAAGAGAAAGTATTATCACATAAAACGAAGCAACTTAAACAACTTACATTGAAAGAAATGTTTAATAAGTAAACAAAAAATATCAAGCTCTTTTTTTGTAAATTTTGATACCCTTTAGATCATAATTGTTCTTTATTTCATAAATTACGGTTTCATATTTTTAATTTTATAATTTGTGCATGCCATCTTACCAGATTTAAACTGATGATCTATAATCCGGAAAAATCAATAATCCAGAATCACCGAAGTCCCGACGAGTCCGGATTAACGACTTTTGACTGTATATATATCTTGCATAACTCAAAAACGAGTAGTCAGAATTTTGAAATTTTGTATATGGAACCGCTATAATATGTAGTTACACCTTCTTTTGGTAAAAAAAAGGCTGCACCAAAAGTATATAAATAAATATATATTGTTTCATAAGAAACTAATGCTTTCTGAATTTAAATGATATTACAAGTTAGTCCACAGCAATAATCTTTTATTTGTTTTCAATTCAATTTTCTTAATTTAAAATTTAAATTAGCTGCATATGAATGACAGAATGTTATTGTATTTGTTAAATATATACTCACACTGAACTTAGTGAACTTTTTTTAAGTGATTGGATTATGTTGTTTTTATGTTCCATTTAAGGTTTTTATGCCTTTAGTTAATCTGCTTGCAACAGTTGTAAAATTACATCAACAATTTAAAAGTTGTTTAATGCAACTAAGGCTAATGGAGCAGTCATTTGTTTATATTTGAAATTTAGCAGAATAGTGAAGTAAGTCAGTTCTGCACCTTCAGTGCCTTTTTGACAAGTGGAACCAAAAGTAAGTTTTCAGTTTTGTGCCCTGAAAAATGTGCATTCTTGCCTGCTGGCTGAATTGCTTGTTTTTGCATAGAAATTCTAATTTTAATCGTAAATTTTTTTAACTGTATTTGGTTTTTATGTTTTTCAATCTTGAATGAAAATGTTTTGAGTTTTTATGAATTTTTGCCTTGCTGCAAAGTGAGAACTGAATTAGAAATATATCTGTAATGAAATTCAAGGAAGTAAGTATAAATGAAATGCAGCAAAAAGGGTGTGTCATTTAGTAGGCTGTACCAGTCATAAATGTCCACATTTTTTAAACTGGAGAGTTGTGAACTGGTTAGACCCAGGTCCAAGCAGTTATAAAAGTGGTAAAATAACTGAATGACACTGATCAACCAACCAACCAAAATAACTGAATGTTAAAGAAAGGCAATTCCTGTCTTAGGAAAACAGTTTAAAGATCTTGGATCTGCGGCTAGGAAGCTGTGACAAGATTATCGAAAAAAAATGTGTACGTCTCAAAATTAGTTTCAACAGTAATGATCAAAATAGAAACTTAGTTTCTAGGCCCATAAAATCTAGGGCTTGCAGTTGCCATTAGAATTTTTGTATTGTAGCAGATGGTATACAGAAAAATTAATAAGGATTTCCTTTTATGCAAAAAAAGTTAATGGTTTGATTTTTCATTGCCATGATGACAAAAGAGATCTTGTGTGAACTGGTACTGAGAATATCAGTTTATAACAATTGGCCTGTGTGTTTCTATAGTATTAAACTGAAATTCATTTCAGCATCTGATTATAAATGTCTTGTATGTGGAAGGAGACAGGAATATGAAGGATGGATGACATTCCTGGCTCCTACCAGATAGATGCAAGACAACCACCAACCTTTAAGGAATATGATCATTGTGTCAATACAAATGATAAGGAAAGGAATAATAATAAATGGGTTCATGCATTTAATAAAAGATTTGTATTTACCTAGCAATAACAAGATGGAAGTTCTACAACTTCACTTAATATTTTTTAGGTCAGCATATAGATCCAGTTTTCAGATTAATATTTGTTAGATGTGCATATGTATGGATTTCAACACACTTCCACATAGGGTAAATCTGGTTCATGACTTTCTTGAAACCAAAGTCACTGAGTGAATAAACTGGTCATATTTCCTAATTTTAATGCTACAGAAAACTTATCATCAAAATCTGTCATATATTATTCCAGTTTTATAGAGTTTTGTATTAAAAACATTCATATTTAATATTTCAGTTTGCATTTTTGAGTTATGATACTACGGAATAACTCCAAATTATATTTATTGAATTTTATTCAACACTTTTTTTAAAATCAGTGTTTTAATGCTTATAATTCTGAACATGAGTGTAAAAAGAAAATTATGTAATTATTAAATGTACAGTTAGGTATGATGAACAGCTAATGGAAAGAAAGATTAAATATTCACAGTACATGCTTAACACCAAACATTCAAATATAAACTGCATTTTCAAGAAAAATCTCTTTACTTTAACCATGATGAAAAATATGAAAGTAAAGCATAAACACAAGCAAGAATAAACATGAGAACACAAAATACAAATCCTCCTCGGGTGCTTCAAAATTTCAAATCCATGAATGAATTCAATCTTATTTCTTTTTCTAATCTGATAGACCACAGATGTCTCTCCATTAATAGGTGCCTTTCCCACATTAACAGAAATGATTTATTTAGATTATAACACTTTCCTGCTGTTTGATTTTTTTTTTTTTTTTTTTTTTTTTTTTTTTTTCCCCACAGTCCCCAATTCATTTTATTCTATGACATTCTTTTTTCACTTCACTCACCTTTATTCCATTTTGAACTTCATCTCAAGAAGAACAACAGTAATATTTTTTTTTTTTTTTTTTTTTCAGCAATCATTTTCAACTGCAGCTCAATCTCTATAGTGATTATTATTAGATATCCCAAAACTCCAGCAGCCCAAATGAAGAGGAAAATTAGAATTTTTATTGCAGTTTCTAAGTGATAACAGTCACTATAAATAAACAAAGTAGGTAAAGATAACTCCAAATGAAAGACATCTTAATTCTTTTAAGAACAACTAGTTTTGCATCAAATTTCCAAAATATAGAATCAATCACAGAAGAAAATTCATACCTGTCATATTAAAAAGATGCAGCAGAATTGAGAACTTGTTCACTGAGCCAGTATTAAATATTGAACTTTTTAAGATAAAATCATGTTTCATTATAATTATATGAAAAATTAAGATCAATTCGGAATAATTTTAGAATTCGATTTATTAAAATAAGATTATGAAGTTCTCAGTCAGACATGTACAAAAAGTAATATTGATTTAAGATGCTAAAAAAATAAAATTTCTAAATCTTAAAAAACAAATATGGTGTATGTTTTATAGTGTTGATACTCCATGAAGTTTGGCTGAGAATTATAGCAGTTTAATATTTTATAAAAATTAAAATTGCTTTAATTATATGCTAATATATTGTTAAAATGAATATGAGTTATGTACTATTTATTACACTTAACATTTGAAAAAAGAACAGTTTTGAATTTGAAACTTAACAATTAAGCAACTGAGAGAATAAACCCTAAATTATATCATATAGTATAAGACTGCTTTGCAGAGAACATGCATAAATATTTAAGTA